AGTTCAATGCAACATGTGCGCACATGGAACACCGGTTTCCAATGTCGCGTGTGAATTTCCCCTGAAAGTTATTGCACATCATATTATACCTTAAATACATAAACATGTTACATTTCAATAATTTATTCAACAAATATAAGAAAGATCTTATTGCATGTGTAAGTGTATCTTAAATATAAAAATATTATTTTGAAGTATATAATCTAATATTTTAATTATTATTAAAATTACATTATTAATATTATTAATAATATGCTGTGCATGTATGTATATATATATATATCAATTTTTTTATTTGATAAATCTATAAAAAAGTTGCTAATAAAATTTTTTATTCAATGAAAAGTATAATATAACATAACAAAAGTATGATTTAAATAATTATTGTAATTATTGCCAATTGAAAATAATATACCTTCTGTTTGTGATCTTTCTTCAGATGATCAAGGTACGCCTTCACGCTCAGCAGAGGCTTCGGCGGTTTGCACATCTTGCACTCGTAATTCGACGAGGATGCCGAACAATCGAGCTCCTCGTGCTCGTGCTTCAAATTGTTCTTCAGCACGCCGTCATCTTTGACACTATACGACACGTCCTCGGTGTCGCTGTGCAACTCGTGCTCTCTCATCGCGGCCTCCTGACGGCTCTCTTTAAGGTTACCTTCCTTATGCGGCTCGGTTTTGTACGGCTGGGGTCGTGGACGAAGTGCACGCAGCCGTGGCAACCTTCCTGACATCTTGGACAAAATTTACTCTGTCCCACGTCCGCCCTATCGTCTCCCTATCGCGCATCGAGGCACCCTTTTATTCCTTAGATCCTCTAAGCCGTAGATCCGGGCGAAAAAAGAAAAGAAGAGAAAAAAAAAATGGTACAACATTCACTACTTCTTCTTCTTCTTTTTCTTCTTCTTCTTCTTGGCGACCTATACAGTCGCCGTCTTCCTCTCGATGACATCGACGTCAAGCCACTTCATGTCGCATGTACTTCTCTTACAAACGATCTCTCTTTTTTCGCTCTTTCTCTCTCACTCTCGCACTCTCTCTCTTTCGAAAGCGATCTAGCTTTACTCGCGACTGTAAATTACAAAGGTGGACGCGCGATTCTCGTCCCGAGCATAATTTTTGTCAGTGAGAAGAAACCACGAGATCCTGACGAGGTCTCCGCAGGGAATCGCGCGCTGATGCACGTTAACGGAAGTGCGAGGCACGGCGTTGCTCGGTGGTCGCGCGATCTACGAAGCCACGACCGCCATATTTTTTTTTCTTTCCTAATGAAACTGCTGACGAAGAACGCGTCCGAACGTTCCCACGAAGAAACCTCCGCTTTCCCGGGATTACCCGTCGTGTTAAATCCCGAATGTAAGACGACACGACACGATGAAAATTTTGCGGGATCAACGGGATGGTAGAACCTCGTAATCTTGTCAATGGCCGATGCGAAAACATCGGTGATTAAGTCGTTACCTTTCAAGATCGCTAACTAATAACGCTTTAGGCTTCTCTGAAAGACAAACGGTTCTAATCCGGACTATCAAATACGATGCACGCGCTACTAGATCCTATGGATTTTCCTCCAAGAAAAAGAAACAAAAAAAAAAAGTATACTTACGACGATATACTTACAAATTACGAAATTCTTTGCATCATGACTGTATCTTAAACGTGACATTAAAGCAAAGGCGAATCGACGCTTCCTTTCCTTCTTTTTCTTTTTTTTTTTTTCGAGACTATTTGCGACAACTACACGTTTCGACGTCTTGCGTGCAATTATTTCCAATAACTCATCTTTCCTACTCCCGACATCCGGTTTACGTGATACAATGGTGAATCGCGCAACGAGTCAATGTGCAGAGTTCGAGCATAACATATTTTTACGCATGCGGCCTCCTCTTCACGTCGTAATCAACGCGAGAATGTCCTTCGTGATTTCTTTTTTTTTTTTTGTACCTTTTCCTCAACACGCGGACCGTGTTTGTTATCCTTGCAATCCTCTCAACGAGCGATTAAAAAAAAAAAATGTCGTACCGATGCGAACTGCGTGGTGAGACAACGCGCGAACATCAAAGACAGAGTATCGGCTTCCCGACACACGAGGGTTCGATTTCCGTTTTCTCTAAGCAATTTCCGGTTCACAGACGAACGACGATTCTGACAAGTGTCGTTGGAAGCGTGTACGTGTGGCGAGTCGTGAACGAGGCAAAACAAAGAAAGAAAAAAAAAAGGAAAAAGAAAGAACAGGGAGGAAATCAAACGCACGGTCCCGTTCACTTGGGAAAACAAACCTCTTTTTTCGGTTAACTCGCTCGAGCGCAGGTTATCTTCTGACCGTCGAGTGACCATCGAGAATAGACATGCCAGAGTAAATCCACGATCACTCGTCAATCGATTTATATCGCAGCCAACCAGGAGGAGCACCGGATTGTAACGTTCACGATCGATTTTTGTAGAATTTGTTCAAACGAAAGAAAAAAGAAAAGGAAAGAACAGAAAAAAACAGAACGAAAAAATCGGATGTGCCAGTTGAAGAAGCTTTGTTTCCTCCCTTCTTTTTCTTGCTTTCTCTCTCTCTCTCTCTCTCTCTCTCCCTCTTTCTCTCTCTTTCTTTCTTTCTCTCTCTCTTAACACGGTTAGGTCTCGATTTATCTCTCGGTACCGCGATTTATCTTTGAATACCTCGTCATCGGCGTTAACAGTGGCCGACGGAACGGAGGATGAATCGTGGAAAGACTACGAGCAGAAAAAAACCAGCCCCTCCCTCCTCTTTTCACCAACTCGGACAGAACGATGGCGAGTCGAAGTGGCGCAGGTCAGGCGCCATCTGCAATTCCAATTCTGATTCTGGTATCCACACGCTCCTCACGCGCCCCCACTTCCTCCCGCTGGTTTCTCCTGCAGCCCTCGCGGGATACAACTGTAGGAGAAGAGAATGGACCGATGGGTACGATGACGATGGTTAAGCTCGTTAAGCGGAGGAGGCGAGTTGTCTCATCGGTGAAAAATGCCCGCATATCGAATATGCAAATTCATCGAACTACTAGCTCTGCAATTACTTTTCCTTGCTATATCTTTTGGAGAAACTTCACTTTACGACATCTGCCCCGTGCGAGACGATCGTCTTAATTGTTTTCTTGTTTTTCATGTTTGATTCTTCACGTGCGAGTAAAGAGTAACACGAGTGAGACAGAGTAAAACGAAGTTACGTGGAAGTAAGATGAATAATAAATCAACGTACTTCAGCTTGCGTACACTGCCGCTGAATGCTTCTTATTAGAATAATAATGAAAACTACTTATAAATTATTAATTTTTGCTCGATCTATAATAATAACGCTTAAGCTTCGTCGACGTGGCACTGTTTGCTCAGCTTATGTCACGATGTTCAGCGAACTCCGCGATATCACGGGAAAAAACTAATAATATTGCCCATACAAATACGAAATCATTGAAAAGTTAATGTTTACTAATTAATATGCAATAAAATAAGTTTCCATTGTTTCACTTTACGAAGACACACGACATTCAAGATTTCTCTTCGTTTGGTTTATCGAATTTTTAGACAACGAAAACATCCAGTTGTTTTCTTTTCCTTTCTAAGGTTAAAAACGAGTACTTTCGATAAAGAGTACGTTATTGTTGCATAATGTATACTGTGTATTCTGGAATCATAACTTGAATGAAAATTGTCGACTTTTGTTTCTTTCAGAGTGCCTTCTTAATGCTTAATCAGTAAATAAAAATTAAATATCATAATAATCACATCAACAGACTGAGGATTTTTAATTATATGCAAATATGCATATAATTAAAGAAAACCTCGATGGAAAATTATTTTACATACTAAATGTTATAGAAAGCACGGCACTTTAGATATTTTATCTTTTTCACATTATGTACGAAAATATTTTAGAATTTTCTGTAAATGCACCAAAATCCGCAATTTGGACATCAGAAACCGATTTAATAAAATACTCTTTAACAATATATATAATAATATAATTATAATAAAACAAAGGTAGTTATTATCATTTAATATAAAAAAAAAATGTTAAATGGTTAATTCAACAGTTATATGACACCATTTTCAACTTTCTTTTGTTTGAATTGCTTCTTCATCATGTAAATACATAGAGGTCAAAATTACATATATTGATTTCATACTTTTATGGGCTATATTGTACTAATTGATAACTTAAGAATGAACGTACAAAAGAATTATAAAAATTGTATTAACGAAAAATTAACTCTCAAAAATGAAATGAGTTCGTTTACTATTTTCTTTTTTAATTAATTATGTAACATTAAAGAATGGTTCACTAATTAGTGAATAAATGATATCGAAATTGTTACAATCATGCATAACCTTCTTTGTCCATAAAAAGTAATAAAATTAACTTTTTTCATTTATATACTTCTATATTATTAATTGTTGTTTATTAAATATAATTAATTCACCATTAAATTCACATATTCATAAATATAAGTTTTTTAAAGACATTTGTTGAATAAGATAAAATAAAGTATAATAAATTGATAGTTATTAAGGTATTAATAATTATTTTTTTAAAAATCATTTTATACATATATACTCGCAAATAAAAGAAAGATAAGGAGAACGAAACAGTATATGTATAATTATATATATATTTTTATTATAAAATGTAAAGTAATAATCTTATTTTGCCTATTAATAGGATAGTTTTTTACTATATTATTTAATTAATATTTATGACCAATTATTTATTATTATCGCTTAAGTTATTGTTTTTATTATTTAGTATTACTAATTTAGTTAGTTTTTATTATTTAGTATTACTAATTTAGTTATTTCAATGACGAACGTCAATGCGTAATTATGTGTGTAATTAGAAGTGCTCAAGTGTCAATGATTTAAATATTTTGATACAGGATTATCATCTCATGAGAGGAAGGGCGAAGAAAAAAATAAACGATTTGATGTGATTTACAATTAATTCTTATTTAAACATTTAAACATTTAAATATACATGTATGATGAATATATTTTTATAAAAATCATTATTACAATATATTAATCCTATTTTCATTCATGTCACTGTATTCTATTTAACATGTGTAAGTAAATGCAATTTCTTTCCCCGTAACCAATAGTAATGCTTTTTTCTTCTGTCTAAAATTAATACTTTGACATTTTATTAGAAAAATCATGATATAGTCATTTTAATTGCTTCTGCAAATTTTCTGCTAACTTGTCCATAAACTCGAATGTTTCTAAATAATCAGATCTAACAACATTACTCAGGCCTTTGATACAAGCTGCTAAATCCTTTGTCATGAAGCCTGATTCAATGGTACTAATACAGACAGACTCTAACGTTTCTGCGAACTTTTTGAGATCTTGATTATTATCCAATTTTGCACGATGAAGTAGACCTCTTGTCCACGCAAATATAGAAGCAATGGGATTTGTTGAAGTTTCGTTCCCTTGCTGATACTGACGGTAGTGTCTTGTAACTGTACCATGAGCAGCTTCTGCTTCTATAGTACGTCCGTCTGGGCAAATTAAAACTGAAGTCATTAGACCTAGAGATCCATAGCCTTGTGCTACAGAATCGGATTGAACATCTCCATCATAATTCTTGCAAGCCCATACAAAGCCACCCTCGCTCTTCATCGCATATGCTACCATGTCATCTATCAAGCGATGTTCATACCAAATTTTCTTAGCTTCAAACTTGTCTTTGTATTCCTTATCATACACTTCTTGGAAAATATTCTTAAATCTACCATCGTATTGCTTGAGAATAGTATTTTTTGTGGAAAGATACAAAGGATACTCTCTTGACAGAGCAAATTGGAGAGAACTATGAGCAAAAGCTAAAATACTTTCATCTGTATTGTACTGAGCTTGTGCAATCCCAGGTCCTTTAAAGCTGTGAACAGTATGTTGAATTTTCTCTCCGTTATCACCAGTCCATGCGATTTCAAGTTTACCTGGCCCAGGTACTATAAAGTCTATGGCTTTATATTGATCTGCGTGAGCATGTCTGCCAATGATAATTGGTTTGGTCCAACTCTGCACTAATCTTGGTATGTTTTTACAGATAATGGGCTCTCGGAAAACTGTGCCACCCAAGATGTTTCTGATAGTGCCATTTGGGCTTTTCCACATTTGTTTCAAATTAAATTCTTTTACTCTATTTTCATCTGGAGTAATAGTGGCACATTTGATTCCTACATTGTACTTCTTAATGGCCTCTGCGCATTCTACAGTTACTTTATCATTAGTGGCGTCCCGGTTTTCAATACCTAAGTCATAAGTATGAAGTTCAATGTCCAAATGTGGTAAAATAAGTTTCTCTTTGATTGATTCCCAAATTACCCTTGTCATTTCATCGCCTAAGATATCGACGACAGCTCCGGCCTAAAAATATATGGAATTACATTACATATAAACTTCTCCTGGTAACGAGAAATTATGTAAAAAAAAAAAATTATTATAAGTATTTATCGTTTAAAAAGAAATTCCTCTCTCTAAGATATAAACGAGAGGCAAGATAAC